CCGTCCTGCTCCCCTCATGGCAGCGGGGGCCGCCAACAACCACTGCAGAATCTTAGTGTACAGCTCCAAGGCCATGGGCGTCGGGTGAAAGCCCAGCTGGGTAAGCCCCACCCCTTCTGCCCGAGGCCCCGCCCCTGCAGCCAAGCCTCTTGGCCAGACCGATTTAGGATCCCCTGTCAGTGGCACCAAGTTCTACCGGTAGATCCTGATCGACTGCTTGGTGACCACTGGGGTACATCTACCCCCGGCGCTATTTCGGGAGCTATTCCCGTCTCCCGAAATAGCTATTCTGCGCCATGGCAGCGCGCCTCCGTCTTTCGAAATAACGGGCGGGCGATTCCGGCATACCCTGGAAGCCTCGCTCCACGAGGAGTAAGGGACGTTTCGGAATAGCGCTCTATTTCGGAATGCGCGGACTGCGCCACGTCACGCCCCGAGCTTCCCTGCCCCTCACGGCTCGCCTTTCCTTTGCAGTACTTCGTCTTCGATTTCCACGTGCCCCCGGACGTCATGTTCGATAAAATCGTCAAATTGTCGGTAAGCGTGGGCGCGTGTGTGTGTGGCGGGAGGGGGGGTGGCAGTGCGCCCCATAATCCAAGGGTGAGGAAACGCAGGCCCGGGCCCCGGCTTGCCTGGATCCAGCCCCGAAAGCTCGGGGCTCCCCCCCCCCGCCTGGGGAGCCCACACTGGCATTCCAGCCCCCATCTCTCCCTTCCCGCCCCCCACTGCCTCACCAGGGGGCTGGCGCACACACAATGTAATAGCCTGGCCCCCTGAGGCTCTGGTGTGTGAGAGGACTGTGAGGAGTGTCTTTCTGCTTCTCAGTCTTGGTGGGTTTGTTTGTTTTCACTTCTCACTTGTGTGCGGCCCTGACTTATTTTTCTGTGGGTCAGGAGCCCCCTGACCCAAAAATGGTTCTCCTACCCCTGCTGTAAGCCCTGTACTTGTGCGGCCGCTCACATGACATTCCAGTGCCGCCCCAATGATCAGCAAGGGTGCCCGCAGCTAGGTTTTGTGTTTCTATGGGTGGTGCACATCTGCACATGCCTGGGCGCACGTAATAATTTTATTCCGCACGTGGGTGGGGAAAATAGCCGCACGTGGATGGAAAAGATCAGAGGCGACGTGGGTGTGCCACCTCTTTGCTGCCAGCTTGGAGCATTGCTGGGAAGAGCCTGTTTCACCTGCCTGTGGAAAAGTGAGGGAAGGGGCAGCTGGGGGCGCCCTTGGCAGACGCTGTACCAAGAGCGTTGCCGGTGCCTCTCACCTCTGGCCCCCAGCCCCTCGGCTAGTCCAGGGAGACAGGGCTTTTGAAAGATTGTGTCTGCTCTTTTGCAAAAAAAGCGGAAGAGCAGACGCATTCTCTGGTTGCGGCGGAGTTTTTCCAGGATACCTCCCAGAAAAACCCTGTAGTCTAGACGTAGCCTCTGAAAGTATCTCTGGATGGATGTGATATCCTCATAATTGTGATGATTGTATTTGAAATCAAATACGGTGACCTATCACCCTAAGCACTGACCTATATATTGTCCTGTTCTTCCTATTGCTTTTATTGGATGTTGTTCTACTGCTGTTTTGAAAATTTCGTTGGTTAAGAAGTTCTATGCAGATGTTAAGTGTTACTATTCTACTTGCAATTCAAATGAGCTATTGGTTTTGAGGCCCTTTCCAGATATAGGAGTTTAAATGAAGAGTACAAGGAAATTTCCTCAACTCTGGCTTCTAAAGACTTAAACTAAAAATAAAAAATTGGCAATGACTTTTTATGAAGTGCAAGTTTATATCTCAGACCGAGAGCTTTTTTCTCATTCCTTCAAAGAGAATGTGGAACCAGCCCAGGCTCCTCATAGCATAACCTTTATAAAGTAGAGGAGGGATTATTTAATTCAATACATGTGGTCCAGACCTGATCTTATAATAGTGCCTACACTAAGAGTATGCAACTGTCATCTTTACCATTACACAGACAGTATTAATGTTCTCCCATCAAACAATGCAGTCAGCAAGAATTTGGGCTCTCGTAAATACTTCCAGTGCTAGAGCCCACTCCTGCAGTATTTGACTGGATTCCTCTTGCAGGTAGAAGAAAATGCCCCTTGCATCTCCTTGCAGGATGAGACCCTATGTTTATTCTGTTGTCACAAACCCTCAAGAACCACGTCATCTAGCTGAAACCTAGTCAATCACATGTACAGCTCCGATTATTATTGATGTCAATAGGAGTTGTAAGCGTGGATCAAGGACATGGTGTGGTCCCTAATTTTTATTATCAAATTAAAATACTGAAGTGCATAGGTCTGGAAACTGGTATCTGGGGGCCATTAATAAATAACTGCATCAGAGTAAAACAAGCTTATCACCTGCGAGTCACAGTAAGAAACACTTTTTAGAATGAATGGCACTAACCATTGTGGGATGATAAATATAAACACATACAAACTGCAAGGCTCTGCAGGCAGTGGGAAAATATCTAGAAATTACTAGTCTGATTTCTCAGAGCTGGACAAAGTGAACTATGAAGGAAGATGCTTTTCCCATTGCAATAAAAATGGGAAAAAAAAGATATATTCTTAAGAGCTTAAGGATTTCTTAGACTCCTCTTCCAGAAAGTGTGAAAAAAATACAGAGTACAAAGAGACTGTATTGGCTGACCTTGGAGCCTCAAAATGCCCCACAACGTCACCAGTGATTTAGAAGAAGAACTTTTATTAACATTTTTTGAGTTTCTGGGTATATTCCCTTTAAGACATGCCTCTCAAAAATCTGCATCCTAAATTATTCTGCTGCCCTGAAAGGTCACATAAGTTCCATTGAAGCAGAACCCTCTTTTGCTTAAATTATACAGAAGAACAAAATCTCATTTTTAGCCTTGAATTGGGCTCTGTTAAAATGACAAAAATATTTTTTCTGTGGAATGTAATTCAAAATATAAATCTGCATACTGTATTAGCAATAAAAGTCAAACAGATACAGTAGCAGCTTTACTTTTCCAAATAAGCACTTCATACATGGGATTTGTAAATCAGACCATATTCATTCCATAAACACACACACAAACCCATTTATTTTCAAAAAGTTCTTAAAGAGATTATGGCTATCTCTTAAAAACTTACAAAGGCCTTTTATATACGAAAATCATTAGACTTAAGAACCTCCAAGAGTTCAAAAAGTAGCATTTTATTAGCCGATTATGGAAAGTAGTGATGGTGAGTCATTCTGTCATCTGAATCAGTACAGTACCAAAGGCTCAGCATGTTGTTAATGGACACTGTACTGCTGGAAATGCCATCTTTGAGGTGAGATATTAAGTCAAGATGTTGACTATCTGTTGTCTTTAAAGATCTAATTGCATTGTTCATAAACATAGCAGTGTTAACCCCTCATATCCTGGCCAAGTTTCAACTTGTGTGACTAGGTTCTGCGGAACTTAACTATTCAGCCTGCAATTTTAATTGGCTCCAGTTTCTTGACTTTCTGCCACTGTGGGTTCATAGTGTTTTTTATGTCTCTGTTTTGATTCCTGATTCTTTGTTTCATCTCCTCTTCCTTCCTCAAAACATGGATTTTATGAAAACAGAGGGTGAAATCCTGGCCTCAATGAAGTTAAAGGTAAAGATCTCACTGATGTCAAAGACACAAACTACCACCCCTGGTTTTAAGAATCTTTGTCCTCTTCTGGAAAGAGGGATTATATGTGTTACACGTGAACTTTCTGTTCACTCACCCCAGTTAATCTAATGCTATATATTTTAGACATATGAGTCTGTCTGTCTGACCATCCGCCTGTGAGGCTGTTTGTTCAAGAACTCTTCCTAAACTGTAAGAGCTATGACCACCAAATTTGGTATGTAGCATCCTCTTATCATAACTGAAAGCAAGGTCAGGGCTTGACTGTGCCAGGATAATTGGATGTGCATTGAATGTGACTGTTTAGTATCTAATGGAAAGGGAGAAGTGTGATAACAAGGACAGTTATACTCAGGAGGACAGCAAGAGCCCCAGCTAGAAGCCACTGGCTGACAGCATGGCTCTGACCACCACAGCCTGCCCCAGAGAGCAGTTGTCAGCTGCTGTGCAGCCCCCGCCTACCTGGGGCAGGCCTGGAGACAAGTCGGCAGGCAAGGTACATACACCATCCACCAGGCTGGCTCCGGGAAGAAGCTGGTGGCCTCTCCCATTCCCACCCTCCTCAGACTCCTGTGCCTCCCAGCCCTCTCTGCACTCCCCCCACACCCATCCTCCTGCCCTGAGCCCCTCTTCACACCCCCAATTCCTGCACCCTCCCACACCCAGCCTCCCCAACAGCTGTTTGGAAATATCTCCCTAGTGTAGGCCAGGGCTGTCTCCCTCACGCTGCTGGGCGCTGAGAGACGTAGAAAAGGGCCGTGCTATTTCCTGCCCCGTACGTAGCCCCAGGGCTTTCTCGTGGTG